CAACCTTGGCTCTTTTATGACTCGTGGACTTCAACTCCCAGAATTCCTGAGCCAGCATGGGGAAATTATGGCCCCCTCATGACTGGTGGACTTCAATTCCCAGAATTCCTGAGCCAGCCTGGCTCAGCTTGGAAACCTCTCCCTTTCCCCTCAGCATGGCTGGCTCAGGAATTCTGGGAGTTGAAGTCCACGAGTCATAAAAGAGCCAAGTTTGTCTACCCCTGGCCTAGCCTTTCGTTGTCACCCCTGGCTCCAAAATGGCGGTGGAGGACCAGGAAAGGGGACTGAGCCTCTCCTGCCCATGGCAGTCTGGTTTGGGAGGGGAGTGAAAGGGAAGAGGAGGTGGGAGGGCAGTCGGGTCATTGAATGGGTAAGGGGGGGAAGAGGTCGCCGAATGGGAGTGGGCTGGCTGTGGGGGCCATGAGGTACTCAGTGCGGGGCACGTGCGGTAGTTCTACATCCCCTGCCACCTGCCTTACCTCACCTGGTGGTGGCGGCACCAACACACCGCAAGACCTCCTGCCTGTTGCTACAGCGAGCAACCAGACGATGGGACGGAGTGGGCTGGCTCTTAACTAGGGCTTATTTTCGGGAAAACGTGTGTGTGTGTGTGTGTGTGTGTGTGTGTGTGTGTGTGTGTGTATGGCTGTAGATATATATACACATACATAATACACATGCTGTATACATACATATATGTATGCATGTATGCATGTATGTATGTTAAATTTGGATTGCCAACAAAGAGTTAAAGGGAGACTAGTATAGCTATTTCGAGCTACTTAGCACTCATCAGCTAGCCATACCCTTGCTGAGATTCAAACCTGGGCTGCTTGCACGTTAGGCAGCTGTTTTAACCTCTAGGTTATTTCAGAAAAAGAAAAAAACACTATATATATATGTGTGTGTGTATGTGTGTGTGTGTATGTATATGTATATGTGTATGTATGTATGTGTATGTATGTATGTGTATGTATGTATGCATGTATGTGTGTGTGTGTATATATATATATATATATATGTATGTATGTATGTATGCATGTATGTATGTATGTTTATGTATGTATTTACCTTGAATGTGCACCCTGTCAGCCCAAATATGGGAGAAAGAAATCTTTCTTTCCCATAGCAACCTATATATATGTATGTATGTATGTATATGTAGGTCTTTGGTTATTCGGGTTTTCTCCCGCGTAAAATTGGAAATGTCTTGGCGACGTTTCGACGAAGTCCCATTCGTAATCTTCAGGCTGGTGTTTTCAGCTTTGTGCTTCAAGGAGTAGTGTGTGGTCTTAGCTGTTTCTTCCTTTTAACTGCCAGTGGGGGTATGAACTGATTGGGTGGGAGCTTGGCTGTGTTCTGATTGGGTGAAGGTGTGTTCTGATTGGTTAGGGGCTTGGCTGTGCTCTGATTGGCTGGGGGGTTGGCTGTGCTCTGATTGGCTGGGGGGTTGGCTGTGCTCTGATTGGCTGGGGGGGTTGGCTGTGCTCTGATTGGCTGGGGGAGTGTTCTGTTTGGGTGGGGGCTTTGTTGTGCTCAGGTTAGTCTGAGTTGCAGGGGGGTTTAAGATACCCCCATTGGCAGTTAAAAGGAGGAAACAGCTAAGACCACACATTGTTCCTCGAAGCACGAAGCCGAAAACACCAGCCTGAAGATGACGAATGGGACTTCGTCGAAACGTCGCCAAGACACTTCCAATTTTACGCGGGAGAAAACCCGAACAACCAAAGACTTACATACAAACACCCGCGAAAACCTCAGAAAACATATGTATGTATGTATGTATATGTATGTGTATAGCATGTGTATATGTGCGTTATGTATGTGTATGGGTAGATAGTTTCTTTTGAGAGCATGCAGCAGAATTTCATTTTTAACGTGGGCCAGTATGCTCACTGTGAAAACATGATAATAAAGGTTTTATCTTACCTTACCTGATCACAAATGATTGGATAGACCAAATAGTGCCTTTGGGCTTGGGGGAATGTTCTAACCGCACATCCCCTTTTCTGCAGAGAAATACAATTTCCTAGGCATCTCCATTGTTGGGCAAAGCAACGAACGTGGCGACGGAGGTATCTACATTGGTTCCATTATGAAGGGAGGTGCTGTTGCAGCTGATGGAAGAATTGAACCCGGAGACATGTTGCTGCAGGTACCTCTTTTATGGAACACTTGAGCTCCCGTTCAGGTGATAAATAGGAAACTTAAGTTAAAAAAGCAGCACAGGTGCTTTGCTCGTGCCTGGAGTAATGCAAGAGCAGTGTTTGTCCACCCTGGCAACTTTTAAGATGTGTGAACTTCAATTCCCAGAATTCCCCAGCCCCGAATTCCCCCGAATTCTTTGATTTATCTTTGCAGGTGAACGACACCAATTTTGAGAATATGAGTAACGACGATGCCGTACGAGTGCTGAGGGAAATTGTGCACAAGCCGGGGTAGGCCATCTCTCCAGCCTCTTTGGTCCCAGTTTCCTTTCGGCGCAGGCTTGAATGGTGTAGTTGTCTGGGCAGAGAGGCAAAGGTTCAGTTGTTTAGCTGTGCCCTCAGGTGGTCGTAGAATTCTGCTCTCATACAATATGGGCAAATCACCAGTTTTCAGCCTTAGCATCTCTGGTATTCTACAGAGATGATAAAACCGGCCTTCCTTATACCGTGTTTCTCCGAAAGCAAGGCCTACACCAACAATAAGCCCTAGCTTGATTTTTTGGGGTGAGCCCTACCCCCAAAATAAGCCCTAGTTTTGGGTGAGGCACACACCTAAAAATCAAGCTGGGGGTGTGGGTGTGGAGCTGCCCAACCCGCCCCACACCCACTTGCAGCCAGGCCTCTCCTCGCCGGCCCCCTTTTTCTTCTGAGGCCTCTTCTGCAGCCAGGCCTGCGTTTTTCAGTCACGGGGCTTTCCGGAAGGCCTGTGTAGCCAAGAACCGAGCTTTGGATTCAAAGGTTCTGCAAGAGCTCAGCAGCCGAGCACCAAGCTATGGATTGAATCCATAGCTCGGTACTCGGCGGCTTAGGCCTTCTGGAAAGGCCTGACTGCAAAATGCAGACCCGAATGCAGCTGCAGAACGTCGGCCCCAGAAGAAGTGGACCAGCTGGGTGGGGCTGTCGATGTTGGAGGTGAGGTAAGGCCTACCCTGAAAATAAGACCTGGTGCCTCTTTTGGAGGCAAAAAAAAAAGACCTGGTCATATTTTCGGGGAAACACAGTAAAATTGTTGTTGTTGTTGTTATGCAAGTGATTGCAGTCCAGCAAATAACAAAAATAAGTGCAGCCAATCTCTTTAGTGAAAGCTGCTCATTCTGGGCTTTGATGGCCCTGCAGATGCTGTTAAGGCTGAATTACGGGCTGTCTTTTCCGTCATGTACTCAAAGGATGTAGGAATTCCTCAAATGCTTTCTGGGACTGGAGTGGGGCGAAGCTGTCATGGTTTTTTTTTGGTTTTGTTTTTTGTTTTGCCCTGAGGGAAATGCCAGCGATGGGGCACGTTATAAAGCAACTTGCAGGATGCCAACCTTTGTGTTTTGCTGCAGGCCCATCACGTTGACGGTCGCCAAGTGCTGGGATCCGACTCCCAGGGGCTGCTTCTCGTTACCCAGGAGTAAGTGAACCTCTGCCTGTAGTTTCTTCGGGTCAGGCATGTACGTGACAAGTCGATTTTATAGAGCACGGAGCTGAAGCGTTTTGTTCAAAACAAAACAAAACAAAATTATCGGAAGACCAGAAGGATCATTGTAGGAAAGCAGATCATTGCAGAGAAGATGAATCTCGGCGGTCCATTTAGAGTCGACCTCAACTTGACGACATGAAATCAGTTAACATGACTGGTGGGGGGGGGGGTGATGATAACCACAATAATAACCTTTTTTTAAAAATTAAAATTACATGCCCCAACTCTCCGTACAAATAGTTAAGAAGATTTAAAAACCCAGAAGTGAATAACAATGACAAAACCAGACGAGACGAAAGAAAGACAGGATGGACCTCCACTCATGTTGACCGCAAACGCATCTAAAGGCCTGACGGTTTCCAATCCCCGTACGGAGGAACAGTCATGCAGGAAGTCCTCGGGTTACGACCACAATTGAGCCCAAAATTTCTGTTGCTAAGTGAGACAGTTGTTAGGTGACTTTTGCCCCATTTTATGACCTGTCTCGTCGGAGATGTTAAGTGAATCATTGCGGTTCTTAAGTTAATAACACGGTTAAGTGGGATCGCCCATTGACTTTTCTCGTCAGAAGGCCGCAAAAGGATCACATGACCCCGGGACGCTGCGACCGTTATAAATACGAACCAGTCGCCAAGCATTTGCATTTGGATCACGTGACCATGGGGGATGCTGCCACGGTTGTAAGTATGAAATACGGTCATAAATCACTTTTTTCTGGTGTGGTTGTAGCTTCAGATGGCGACTAAGTAAATTGTTGTAAGTCTAGGGCGCTACCTGCTATTATGAATATATACAGGTGGTCCTCCACTTACAACGGTTCATTTAGTGACCATTCAAAGTTACAACGGAACTGGAAACAAAGGAACTCATGACCATTTTTCGCACTTAACGGCAGTTGCAGCGTCTCCGTGCTCACGTGATCAAAATTCGGAGGCTTGGCAGCTGACTCGTGTTTATGACGGTCGCAGCGTCCCGGGGTCACGTGTTCCCGTTTTGCGACCTTCTGACGAGCAAAGTCAATGGGGGCATCGCAGATTCACTTAACAACCGTGCTATCCCCTTAACAACTGCGGTGATTCACTTACCGACTGTGGCAAGAAAAGTTGTAAAATGGGAGCAAAACTCACTCAACAGCTGAGCAACAAATATTTTGGGCTCAATTTTGGTCGTAAGTCAAAGACTACCTGTACTTCACCCCCCCTTCGTTTGAGGGTGAAAAGACCAAAAGCCGAGATAAAATCAGTAGGGCAAACCTACAGCTCTTGGAGCGATACGGTTATTGAGATTTATAGGCTTGGTCAATGCTCAAGGCTTGGCAGAAAAGGTTAGCAGCTCCTTGAAAATGCTCCTTTTCTACACGTAGAGAGAGACTTTTGAGAAGTAACTGAGACATTCCCAGGAAGGCCCTGGAGTTGCTTTTCCGAAAGGCCACTGGATCTCCTCGTTTTGTTTTTTCTTGAAAATGCTTCCCATCTCATCCAAGATGAAGCTTCTTGGATGAGAAGCGCAGCGTTTTCAAGGGGGGGAGAAAATCCAGTTGCCTTTCGGAAAAGCACCCCTGGGACAACCAAGAGCTGGATGATTGAGAATCTCCATAAACCAGCGGTAGGCAACCTCGGCTCTTTTATGACCCATGGACTTCAACTCCCAGAATTCCTGAGCCAGCTATGGAGTTGGTCCATGAGTCATAAAAGAGCCGAGGTTGCCTACCCCTGCCATAGACCCTCCTTTTGGCTAAATGCATCAATGGGCTTGTAATGTGCGAGAAAGCCACGGGGATTCTCCCGCTTTCTTCTCTCTGCGCTGCTCTTCCTTCCTTCCTCTTTTGCCTTTCTCCTGCCGTCTTCTGGGACTTCCTACTTGGCGGCTGCTTTCCCGCTCCATCCCAGCTCAGACCAGTCCTTTCCCTGCATGGACGTCCCCTCCCCTGCCTGCTAATCCCTGGGCGCCAGGTGGATCTCTCTCTCTCTCTCTCTGTGTCCCTCTTGCTGATCACCCCTCTCTTTTCTCCCCCAGTTGCTCCCCAGCGAATCTGGGCTGGGCCGGACTCTCCGTGCTCCGATCCGGGTGAGTCCCGGCTGACACTCGGGGGAGGACAGGGCTGCCCAGAGGTTTTTGGGTCCAGCGTAGGGGGATGACGGTTGCGGAGGCGGCCTTCTCACCGGGTCCGTGTTCCCTTTCAGGCGAGCCTATCCGACCCATCGACCCGGCAGCTTGGGTGTCCCACACCGCGGCGATGACCGGCACCTTCCCTGCCTACGGTATGAGCCCATCCATGAGCACAATCACTTCCACCAGCTCCTCCATCACCAGCTCCATCCCGGAAACGGAACGTAAGTTCTTGTGTCCGCGCATGTCCCACTCCTGCTTGGCTTCCCGTCACCTGCACACCTCATCTGATAGGAATCATACCTGGACAGGGCCGAGTTCTCCTTGGTGGAAGAAGGATCTGACCCTCAGTAACTAAGGATTGCTTTCCCGGTAGACTCTGACGTACTGAGCAGGGACGTGGAGTCCCTCTTGAAAAGATGTGCAGGCATCTCAACATACCAAGAGGGAAGTAGAGAAATTCAGACAGTCAGCCAGGAGGAAGTAGGGTAGTCCTCCACTCACGACCACAGTTGAGCCCCAGAGTTCTGTTGCTAAGTGAGACAGTTGTTAAAGTGAGTTTTGCCTCATGCTTTACACGCTTTCTTGGTGAATCACTACAGTTGTTAAGTTAATAACACGGTTGTTAAGTGAATCTGGCTTCCCCGTTGACTTGGCTTGACAGAAGGTCACCAGGTAACCCCGGGACCGTCATAAATACGGGTCGGCTGCTAAGCATCTGAACTTTGATCACGTGACCATGGGGATGCTGCAACGGTGGTAAGTGTGAAAAACGGTTAGGTCGCTTTGTTCAGTGCCGTTGTAACTATGAACGGCCACTAAAGGAACTGCTCTGTAAGTCAAGGACTCCTCGTGGAAGTTGACCTAAATCAGGGTGGGGAATGATGGCCCCTTTATGACTTGTGGACCACTAATCATTTTGACAAGGGTGATCATAGAATCATAGCGCTGGAAGGAAGGGACCTTGGAGGTCTTCTAGTCCAAACACAGTGCTGGGCTGCATTCACAGAGGGAGAGAATCAAGATCACGCGAAGTGTTAATACCACTTTACAAGGCCTTGGTAAGGCCACACTTGGAATACGGCATCCAGTTTTGGTCACCACGATGTAAAGAAGATGCTGAGACTCTAGAAAAGAGTACAGAGAAGAGCAACAAAGATGATTAGGGGACTGGAGGCTAAAACATACAAGGAACAGTTGCTGGAATTGGGTATGACTAGTTTAATGAAGAGAAGGACGAGGGGGGATAGGATAACAGCCTTCCAGTATCTCAGGGGTTGCCCCAAAGAAGAGGGAGTCAAGCTCTTCTCCAAAGTGCCTGAAGGCAGGACAAGAAGCAACGGATGGAAACTAATCAAGAAGAGAAGCAACCTAGAACTAAGGAGAAACTTCCTGACAGTTAGAACAATTAACCAGTGGAACCACCTGCCTCCAGAAGCGGTGAATGCTCCAACACTGGAAATTTTTAAGAAGAGACTGGACAGCCATTTGTCTGAAATGGTATAGGGTTTCCTGCCTGAGTAGGGGGTTGGACTAGATGACCTCCAAGGTCCCTTCCAACTTTATTACTACTACTACTACTACTACTACTACTACTACTATTATTATTATTATTATCCCTCTGGCTATTCCTATAGATGATCAATTAGAAAAGTCTGGTGAGTATCCCTAGACCAGGGGTAAGCAACCTGAGCTCTTTTATGACTGGTGGACTTCAACTGGTGGACTTCAACATGAGCCGAGGTGGCGCAGCAGTTAGAGTGCAGTACTGCAGGCCACTTTAGCTGACTGTGTTCAGCAGGTCAGCGGTTCAAATCTCACCGGCTCAAGGTTGACTCAGCCTTCCATCCTTCCGGGGTAGGTAAAATGAGGACCCAGATTGTTGGGGGCAATGTAAATATATATATACATTGCTTACTGGTGTACACCGCTTAGAGAGTGCTTGCACTTAAAGCGGTATATAAGTCTCATAAATAAATAAATAAATAAACTCCCAGAATTCCTGAGCCAGCCTGGCTCAGCTTGGAAACCTCTCCCTTTCCCCTCAGCATGGCTGGCTCAGGAATTCTGGGAGCTGAAGTCCACGAATCATAAAAGAGCCAAGATTGCCTACCCCTGCCCTAGGGGAACACTAGCTGTGAGAAGGGGGTAAAGCCTTGGTCGGCTCCTACTGATCAAGCTGGGACTAGCTTCCAGAGAGGCGCCACGGCCTATAAAGCAGAGCGGCCGTGGTAAGGGAAGGCAGTACAGATAGTCCACGATTTACGACCGTTTCTTTAGCTGACTTATAACTGGTTCTCACACTTAACGACTGCCTCCCCACGATTGGGTGCTTGGCAACTGGCATGTATTTACAACGGTTGCAATGTCCTGGGGGCAAGTGATCTCCATTGGCAACTTTTTGCACTGGCTTCTGACAAGCAAAGACAATCCGGTGTGTGTGTGTGTGTGTGTGTGTGTGTGTTTGTGTGTGTGGATTTGCTTAACGACCGCATGAATCACTTAACAGCTGCAGTGATTTGCCTAACAAGCACTGCAAAAAAAGTTTGTAAAAACGAGGCACGGCTTCCCTTGCCTTGCTTTGCAACAGAAATCCCGGTCCCGATCGCGGGCATTAGTTGAGGACTACCTGTATTTTGTTTCAGAGCAAGCTTGTGGAACAACATGGGCAGAAGACTTCTTGCCTACTTTGCCTGATGGGTAAGGAAGTGGGGGGAAGTGTGACTAAAGCCCAAGGGAGCCTAGGGGGCACTAGAACAAAAAAGGACAGGATCCTTACTGGAACTATTGTGGCCATGAGGAAGATCTGGAGATGGTGAAGGGATAGCTACTGATTGGGTTTGGGAGAACAGCCACGTAGGACAATTTGAATAAGCCGTGGCTTTTGAGCACAGAACAGTTGACTTGTGGAGTTTCTCAGTCATGATCCAATCTCAAACACGCTCATTTTGAGCTGTTTCCTGGGTTACAAATGTGGTCGAAAAAACGAAGACGGCGATTGCGGTGTGTGCGCAAAAAAACAGATAGAAATTTGGTGGCAGGTTGCCGTGGCATCATCGGTGGGCCTTTCTGGGATGCCTCAAATTTAGCTGACTTCCAGGCTAGTGAAACAAGCCCTGGTCACCTTTCCGGGAAGGTTAGGAATCAAAATTTTGAAGTGAAACAGGAGAGAATTTGGAGCTGGAAATATTTTGCACATCACTGGCTATGGAATATCAGTTTGGCCACGTGAAACATCTGGGAGACCTCAGGCTTGGGTGTTCCTGAAATCTAGGCTGCGTTAACAGAGAGCTGGGCTGCATTAACAGAGGGATAGAATCAAGATCACGTGAAGTGTTAATACCACTTTACAATGCCTTGGTAAAGCCACACTTGGAATACTGCATCCAATTTTGGTCACCACGATGTAAAAAAGATGCTGAGACTCTAGAAAGAGTGCAGAGAAGAGCAACAAAGACGATTAGGGGACTGGAGGCTAAAACATATAAGGAACGGTTGCTGGAATTGGGTAGTATATTTTAATGAAGAAAAGGACGAGGGGGGACATGATAGCAGTGTTCCAATATCTCAGGGGCTGCCCCAAAGAAGAGGGAGTCAAGCTATTCTCCAAAGCGCCTGAAGGCAGGACAAGAAGCAACGGGTGGAAACTAAGCAAGGAGAGAAGCACCTAGAACTAAGGAGAAACTTCCTGACAATTAGAACAATTAACCAGTGGAACACCTGCCCAGAAGCGGTGGATGCTCCAACACTGGAAGTTTTTAAGAAGAGACTGGACAGTCATTTGTCCGAAATGGTATAGGGTTTCCTGTCTGAGCAGGGGGTTAGACTAGATGACCTCCAAGGTCCCTTCCAACTTTACTACTACTACTACTACTACTACTACTACTACTACTACTATTATCATTATTATTATCATTATTATCAACTTGGCCTTGATCCGATCACTTCCTGTTTGGGGGAAATGAAAAAAAAAAAAAATCCCAGCGCAGCTGTCCTTAGTTTTTTAAAAGAAAATTCAAAGTAGAAGAACAAAGCAGTTACAAGTCATGTCAGGCAGAAACAGATCATTTGCTGAATTTTTTTTTTTAAAAAAATGGTTCCTTGGGAAGACCCTTGACTTCACAGCAGTTTTTGACCTGCACCAGAGGTTTAAGAAAGAGTCCTATTCAGAGGGAGACTGTCGATCCCAGTGGCTTCTTAGGAGATGCCTATCGGTTTCCCAGCCTCCATCTCTCTTGCAGCCTTCCCCAGTTCTCTATTCCTTAAATGTGTTGGATTCCCAGGATCTCTGGTTGACAGATCTGGAGAACGTCGGAATCTGTAGGCGGTGCTCAACGTGCATTCCTCCACCTTCCTTCCTTCCTTTTGTACAGGTCTTGATGACTTTCACCTCTCCATCCATAGCGATATGGCCACCATTGTCAAAGCCATGGCCTCACCGGAGTCGGGCTTGGAGGTGCGTGACCGCATGTGGCTGAAGATCACCATTCCCAGTGCCTTCATTGGTAAGGCTGACTAGAGGAGCCCGGGGGAGGGTGGTGATTGAGAGCTGCTAAGCCAGGGCTCTTCAAACTTGTCCCTTTTAGGACTTGTGGACTTCAACTCCCAGAATTCCTCAGCCAGGCACACGTGCCTGGCTGAGGAATTCTGGGAGTTGAAGTCCACAAGTCCTAAAAGGGACAAGTTTGAAGACCCCTGGGCTACGTCTTCAGTGGGTCTCTCAAATAGGTAGCTGGAGTGCATAGACAGAGACAGAAAGATAACCAATGCATAGACAGAGACAGAAAGATAACCAGTGTTGCTGTAGAGAGCAGAGGTGGGGAACTACACCAGAATTCCTGAGCCAGCTAGGCTAAAGAACAACTGAGGAATCTGTTCATCTTTAGGTCCTCCTCCACAGAATTTTGACAGCCAATTCCTACGTTCAAATTGCTTCATGTCTGCCACCTTAAAACCACATCCCTATAAAGAAGTTTATAGAGAAGATATTATAGCCATATTGTAGGTGGAGGAGGGGGTTCAGGCTAAGTCTTGTCTGAATTGCGTGCTGAGTTTCTTTCTCCTTCATCATTGTCTCTGTATTCCTGTGTCTGTCTGTCTGTCTGTCTGTCTGTCTGTCTATCTATCTATCTATCTATCTATCTATCTATCTATCTATATCCTATCTATCTTTCTCTCTCTCTCTCTCTCTCCATTTATCTATCTGTCTCTATCTATCTATCTATCTATCTATCTATCTATCTATCTATCTATCTATCTATCTATCTATCTATCTATCTATCTCTATCCTATCTATCTTTCTTTCTTTCTTTCTCTCTCTCTCTCTCTCTCTCTCTCTCTCTCTTTCTCTCTCTCTCTATCTATCTATCCCGCCTTTATTAGTTTCACAAATAATTCACGGTGGCAAACATATTCAACACATCTTCCTCTTCCTATTTTCCCCACAACAACAATCCTGTGAGGTGAATTGGTCTGAGAGGGCGTGATTGGCCCAAAGTCACCCAGCTGGCTTTCATGTCTGAGGCGGGACTACAACTCCCTGTCTCCTGGTGATTGGCCCAAAGTCACCCAGCTGGCTTTCATGTCTGAGGCGGGACTAGAACTCCCTGTCTCCTGGTGATTGGCCCAAAGTCACCCAGATGGCTTTCATGTCTGAGGCGGGACTAGAATTCATAGTCTCTTGCTTTCTCGCCTGGTGCCTTTAACCACTAGACTTTTCTATATATAAAAGAAGTCAACAAGAGAGTTTGTTTCTTGCTTTCCTTCTTGCGCTGTGGTATGGAGAAATGGACACAGGAATCGAGTAGAATCTGACACGAACAGAACAGTTGCTTCCTGCGATATGAACTTTGTGCTCCCGTTAATGCTTTCCAAGATAACCCTTGTGTGTTTAGCAGCAGAATCCCTCTGCTGAGTCATGTTTCATTTGTGGTTGAGAAGGACACCCAGTTCCTTTTCACATGTATACTTCTGTCCAGATTTCAATATTTTGTCCTGTTAAATTCCATTCTATTCATTTCAGTCCATCGCCCGAGCCTGTCTAAAGCTTTTTTTAATCTCTGTCTTCTCTCATTCTCTTCTCTCTCTCTCATTCTCTCTCTGTCCTGTCTCTTTCTTCTCTCTCTCTCTCATTCTCTTCTCTTTCTCTCTCATTCTCTTCTCTTTCTCTTTCTCTCTCTCTCTTCTCTCTCTGTCCTCTCTCTCTTCTCTTTCTCTCTCTCTCATTCTCTCTCTGTCCTCTCTCTCTCCTCTCATTTTCTCTTCTCTCTCATTCTTTCTTCTCTCTTTCTTCTCTCTCTCTCATTCTCTTCTCTCTCTCTCATTCTCTTCTCTTTCTCTTTCTCTCTCTCTCTTCTCTCTCTGTCCTCTCTCTCTTCTCTTTCTCTCTCTCTCATTCTCTCTCTGTCCTCTCTCTCTTCTCTCATTCTTTCTTCTCTCTTTCTTCTCTCTCTCTCATTCTCTCTCTGTCCTGTCTCTTTCTTCTCTCTCTCTCTCTCTCTCATTCTCTTCTCTTTCTCTTTCTCTCTCTCTCTTCTCTCTCTGTCCTCTCTCTCTTCTCTCATTTTCTCTTCTCTCTCATTCTTTCTTCTCTCTTTCTTCTCTCTCTCTCATTCTCTTCTCTCTCATTCTCTCTGTCCTCTCTCCCCTCTTTCTCTCATTCTTTCTTCTCTCTCTTCTCTCTCTCATTCTCTTCTCTTTCTCTCTCTCATTCCCTTCTCTCTGTCCTCTCTTCTCTCTCTCTCATTCTTTCTTCTCTCTCTTTCTTCTCTCTCTCTCTCTCTCATTCTCTTCCTCTCTCTTTCTCTTCTCTCTCTGTCCTCTCTTCTCTCTTTCTCTCTCTCTCATTCTTCTCTCTCTTTCTTCTCTCTCTCTCTCTCTCATTCTCTTCCTCTCTCTTTCTCTTCTCTCTCTGTCCTCTCTTCTCTCTTTCTCTCTCTCTCATTCTTTCTTCTCTTTCTTCTCTCTCATTCTCTTCTCTCTCTCTCATTCTCTCTCTCTTTCATTCTCTTCTCTTTCTCTTTCTCTCTCTCCTCTCTCTGTCCTCTCTCTCTTCTCTTTCTCTCTCTCTCATTCTCTCTCTGTCCTCTCTCTCTTCTCTCATTTTCTCTTCTCTCTCATTCTTTCTTCTCTCTTTCTTCTCTCTCTCTCATTCTCTCTGTCCTCTCTTCTTTCTCTCTCATTCTCTCTCTGTCCTTTCTCTCTCCTCTCTTTCTCTCTCTCTCATTCTCTCTTCTCTCTCTTTCTTTCTTCTCTTTCTTTTCTCTCTCATTCTCTCTTTCTCTCTTCTCTCTCATTCTCTCATTCTCTCCTCTATCTTTCACTCTTTTCTCTCTCTTCTCTCTCTCTCTCTCTCTCTCTCTCTCTCTCTCTCTCTCTCTCTCATCTAAATCATTTACCGCCCCTCTCACCTTTGCCTCAGTTGTCAACTTGACAAGCGTCCCCTCAACTCTTTCTTCCAAGTCATTCATAAAAATGTTCGAGAGCATCAGGTCCAAGACAGAGCCCTCCGGCCCGACTCCATGCTTCCCTCCAAGCTAAAGTGGGATCATCAAGGAGCATTCGTTGGGCATGGCTTATCCCCATTGCCCATGATGGTTACACCAGTTTTCTCTTAGTGACATACTCCACCCTTGATGGTCCTGCCCCTACTGGCCTTCCTTAAGATGTTAATGACTTTGCTTTTCCAAGACTCAGTCAGGGTGATGGATAAGCCTTCTGAAACAAATTTTTTGACTGAGTCATTGTGGTCTCGCCTGGGTTGTATCATGTCCCGTTGGTTTCTTGTTCTTAATTTTGTGGGTTTTTATATTCGCTTCAATCTAATTGTTATCCATCAGGAGTCAGAGTCTGAACTGGGGAGGGGACATTTATATTATTTAAATAAATAAATACTCCCCCTTTTGGCTTTTTTTTTTTTATTTCTGGCATGCACAGGTACTTTTGTCCGGTTTACTTTGTTTTTTAATGGGGTTTATATTTTTTGTTATCTTTTGCACACTTCTCAACTCGTTATTCGCGCTTAGCTTTTCTAGCTGAGTTCCCTCCAACGTAGTTTCTGGATCTACTTATTCTCCTTTACTCCTGGCCTCATTTTTACAACTGCTGCACTCACCTCACTGAGTTCTGATTGCTCGTGATTTACTCATTCAAGCTGCTAAGGTTAAGTCCCCACTAGGTTGAATCCATCCATGGATACTATATTTTGATTGCAACATTCAGTCTTAATGAACCTGATTGGGTTTGTTTTCAAGTAAGGGTGGGTAGATTTCTTGAGCATATCCCATACCAAGATTTAAAATGGACTTTCCCCCCCCCCAAAATAATAATGTGTTCTGCATAGAAGTGATGTGTTGTGTAACACATGTGTTTCCCAGCCTTAGCCATTTTCTGTGAATTTCAACTCCCAGAATTCTCAGAGGCAGCATTGCCATTTTAATTCTAAACTGGTACCAATCTGGTCACAATAGTTCATTCATTTCCCGGGAATGAATCTTTTGGAATGGGAAGCAATTCATTGTGAGTTCCCCAAATGGCCTGTCACAAAAAAAAGTTATTTTTTTTCCTATCGCATACACTTTGCTTGGGCTTCAGTGACAAAAAATGAAGGGGAAAAATGCTGTTTTTTCCTCTACAGCAGGGGTGGGGAACGATGGCCCTTTTACGACCTGTGGACTTCAACTCCCAGTATTCCTGAGACAGTCATGAGGGACTTCCAACTCCCAGAATTCCTGAGACAGCTGTGCTGGCTCAGGAATTCTGGGAATTGAAGTCCACAGATCATACAGGGGCCATAGTTGCCCAATCTTTTTACGACCTGTGGACTTCAACTCCCAGTATTATTGAGACAGTCATGAGGGACTTCAACTCCCAGAATTCCTAAGACAGCCGTGCTGGCTGAGGAATTTTGGGAGTTGAAGTCCACAGATCATACAGGGGCCATAGTTGCCCAATCTTTTTACGACCTGTGGACTTCAACTCCCGGTATTATTGAAACAGTCATGAGGGACTTCAACTCCCAGAATTCCTAAGACAGCCGTGCTGGCTGAGGAATTTTGGGAGTTGAAGTCCACGGGTCATAAAGGGGCCATAGTTGCCCAATCTTTTTACGACCTGTGGACTTCAACTCCCAGTATTATTGAGACTGTTATGAGGGACTTCAACTCCCAGAATTCCTAAGACAGCCATGGTGGCTCAGGAATTCTGGGAGTCCACAGGTCACAAAGGGGCCATCGTTCCCCACCTCTGCAGAGGAATAAACCCTACAAGCTAATGACAAGGCCCCATGTCATGCTGAGAATTTCTGTAGCCGAGGTAGGCCTCAAAAGCTGAGCACCCCCCAGTGCCAGCGCTATCCTAACCACCATATACCGCCTTCCATTTGTCGTTGCCTCACTTTCTTGTTCGGTCTTGCTTGCTTCTGCCCCTTGCCAGGGTCGGATGTGGTCGATTGGCTGTACCATCATGTGGAGGGCTTTACGGACCGGCGAGAGTCTCGCAAGTATGCCAGCAACCTGTTGAAGGCTGGTTATATCCGCCACACGGTCAACAAGATCACCTTCTCGGAGCAGTGCTACTACATCTTTGGAGACATCTGTGGAAGTACGGCTTATAATCACGGCTACGGGCTAGGAAGGAGGGGGAGGCCCAAAAGCAGGAAGTCCTCGAATTACGACCCCAAAATTTTCTGTTGCTAAGTGAGGCAGTTGTTAAGCGAGTTTTGCCCCATTTTAGGACCTCCCTGGCCACGGTTTGTTAAGTGAATCACTGCCGGTGTTAAATTAGCAACACGGTTGTTAAGTGACTCTTTTGATTTTGCTTGTCAGAAGGTCGCAGGAGGGGATCACATGACCCCAGGACACTGCAACAGTCATAAATTAGGAGTCAGTTGCCAAACAGACTAAATTTTGATCACATGACCACAGGGATACACCGCAGTGGTCCTAAGTGTGGAAAAAGTGGTCATTAAGTCCCTTTTTTCAGCGTCCTAACTTCAAATGGTCACTAAAAGAAAAGTTGTAAGTCCAGGACCGCCTGTAGTTCAAACTCAAAACTTTTTCATCTTGAAACAGGGAGTTTTGATCATTTTGGAACCATTCCAAGCTGACTGGGATGCTTCTTTTCTTTGTCTGTTTTTTTCTTTGCTTTGCTTGAAAATGTTCCAGAATTCATTTGAACGGCCTATTTGGGTGTTTTCAAGCTGGCTGCAGCCCAGTGATCAAAGCAGAGTGTTTTCAGTTAAAGACATTTTTGCCTGTGAAGTGTTTGAGAAGGAAGGAAGGGGTGATTTAGCAGAAAAAGATGATTTAGCAGGAAAGGGGGGAAAAAAAAAAGCAGACGGGTGATCCCGATGGGCGGGGTGAGGAGTTGCAGAAGGCACCCTTATCCTGAACAAGCGACAGGGAGACGCTGTGCAGAGCAGAGCCCGAGTGGATTGCTAAATCCTGCACGTCTCCTTGTCTTTTTCTTCCGTCTTGGGATGGGGCCACTGATAAAATAATCACAACAAAGGAGAATATTTGTAGCTGAGCGTTAAGCTTGCATGTAACCATCCTCCCCCCCCCCACTGCTAGTCCGCAAAGCCGGGAAGATTGGGGACTGCTGATTTAACCTTTGCTGGGGGTTTTTTTGTGCCTCTTTCTTCTTGCAGATATGGCCAACCTCTCCTTGCATGACCACGATGGATCGAGTGGGGCCTCCGACCAGGACACGCTGGCCCCGTTACCCCACCCAGGAGCGGCCCCCTGGCCTATAGCTTTTCCTTACCAGTATCCCCCTCCACACCCCTACAACCCACATCCTGGATTTCCTGAGCCAGGTTACAGCTACGGAGGGGGCAGCGCAGGTAGCCAGCACAGTGAAGGTAAGCATCTACCATACCTTCTGCTCTGCCTTCAAGCCTGCTAGAAGATGGCGCTTCTTTTGTCTGCCTGAGCTGGGAATTGTACCATGGCTGTCATCCAGGGCAGAGGTCCCCAAACTGTGGGCCGCAGTCTACTACCTGGCCGGGAGCTGTTGGCCACTGGGCCACCTGAGGGGCTGGCCAGCGTGTATGCACTAGCTAGTATCGTGAGCACTAGCATTGCGGCGGCATGCGGACGCCATCGTCGCTGAGAGCGCACACGCCTCCCCCCCACATCGTGTGCGCAATCGTGGCCCCATTCGTGCGTGCGCTTTCAGCCCCCTTCGAGCACACACGTGCGTGTACAGGCATCCCTCCCCTTTGCATTGGGGACCCCTGATCTAGGGCAGAGGCCCCCAACCTTTTGGGCACCAAGGATCGGTTCCATAGAGAGAGGTTTTTCCACCGACTAGAGGAGGTGTGGCTTTGTATGCTGCCTGCATATGGTGGATGGAGCTTTGCTTGTTGGCGGGGTACAGTTGCTGGCATGCTGCGGACCAGTGCCGGGAGTTGGGGACCCCTGATTTAGAGTCTCTCTTTAGAAGTGACCAACTTTAAAGAAAAGATGTAAGGTGACACTCCATCCAAAATCTCGATTGGGGAAACAGCCTCTTCCTTCTGGACACTCAGGTTCCCTCTTAACCAATGAATGAGTTTAGCTTTTGACCATTGAAAAAAATCTCACTTGCTGCATCCTTATTCTAGATTGGTCATTTATTCCAGGATATCCCTATGGACCTTTGCCATTCATTCATTCATTTATCGCCCATCTTGTATCCAACAACTCTGAGCGGCTTACAGCATATAAAAACTAAAAAAAACCATTAAAACCATCAATCATAACAGAAAGAACCCAGCAGGTAAAATAATTACCAGGTAAAATCATTAACACCAGAGGGCAAAAGAGGGAGCCGGACACACGGAGGAGGGAGGTGGGGGTTAAGTTTTAATTCCTTAACCGTCCTCCAGTATAAAGCTGCCCCATTAGGAGCTTTTCAAAGCTGTTCCTAAATTTGTGAAAAAGTCGTGATTGCGAACTGGATTGTTCCCTGTGAGCTGAAAGCCAGAAATATATTATTTATTTTACTCACACATGGGTGGCTCCAAGCGGCTTACAAAATTAAAAAAAAAAAAAAATAGAATAAAACCCCGTAACATCTCTCCCTCAGTGGCAGCAACAACACAGTCAAATGAATCGCTTGAGTGGCCCCATTCGTGGACCCCAGGCCCACTGACAAAAACCACGTTTTTAAGAGACTTTTGGAAAAGCAATCGGGTGGTGGCCAACCGTATCTCGGAGGAAAGTGATGTTCCATAAAAAAAAGGGCCACCACCGAGAAGACCCCTTTCTGTGGTCCCACCAGATGAGCATCCCTAATCGATGACCATTCCTGTAACATACTCCATCCAGGTGGGCCAGGTAGATAACAGAATAACAGAGGTGGAAGGGATCCTGGAGATCTTCTAGACCAGACCTGTCAAACACAAGGCCTGGGGGCCGGATGCGGCCCGTGAAGTGGTTTCATGTGGCCTGCGAAGCCATCCTGGAAACAGTGAGGGAACTGCCCCCCGCTGCCTTGGCCCTGGCCCAGGCCGGCCGGGAGCCAATGCACAATTTTGTGGTGGCCATCTATGCTGAAACGCATTCAGTCTTAGCTCCACAAGGCCGTCTGGAAACAGCGAGGAACCAGCCCCTGCCGCGTCGGCCCTGCCCTCTGGGTGCATGCTGGGGAAGTGTCACCCTTTGTGAGGAATGAAGAAATGCACCATTGCCTGGAAGTGGCCAGCAAATGGCCCTCGCCTACTTCACATATCTGGCTTGATGGGCTCTGGGGGAGGGGTTTTGGCAGGCAGCGGGGCGCTCTCCTTACGTGCTGAGAGGCTGAGCCGGGTAACACAAATCCAAAAAGAAACGCAAGGCCGCCCAGCTCCCAGCCTGCCCAGTTTCAGCAGGCAGCGGGTCGCTCTCCTCACAGCGCCAAGAGCTGAGCCGGGTGGCGCAAATCTGATGAGAAGTGCAATGCTGCCTAGCCCCCAGCCTGCCCAGTTTCAGCAGGCAGCAAGGTGCAAAGTTGGCGAGCTTCGCACCCCCCCCCCCGGCTCAACCACTTGGCACTGTGAGGAGAGTGCCCCGCTACCTCCCGAAACCGGGCAGGCTAAGGGCTGGGTGGCATTGCGCTTCTTTTTGGATTTGTGTTACTCGGCTCAGCCTCTCGGCGCTGTGAGGAGAGCGCCCCGCTGCCTACCGAAACCGGGCAGGCTGGGGGCTGGGCGGCATTGCACAGGTAATGTTGACTCTCACACTGCTCATGGCATCCCCTCCCCCAGAGCTCACCAAGCCAGATATGTGAAGTAGGTGAGGGCCATGAGCTGGCCACTTCCAGGCGATGGTGCATTTCTTCATTCCTCACAAAGGGTGACACCTCCCCAGCTGCATTTCTTGCCTGTCTTTCTCCCTCCCTCATCTCAAATATTTTCCCACCACTCTGTTCTTAGGAAGGAAGGAAGGAAAGAAGGAAAGGAGAGGGAGGGTCTGAGGGAATTCCTGCCTTCGTTCTGCCCTGCTGCCCTTTCAACATCCCCTTGCCCCCTCCTCCTGGCCTATCCTGGGGGTCTCCCACCCTATTGCTAAGGAAGCTTTGGATACAAAGCCAGGTCTCCTTCCATTGGGAGGGAATGGGCCTCCCTCTGACTTTGCCCTCGTGCCCATCATGAGCAACCTCGCTAAGGAGAGCAAGCACAGCAGCAGCAGCCTTGAGGACGTAAGTGCAGCTGGGTGCCCCCTTGGGGAAGTGGGGCTGGGCTTGGTGCCGCAGGTGCTCGAGGGCCAGGCTGGGCATTTGACCTCTGTTGCCCAGGGCTCTGGGCAGCTCGCACCACCATCCAGCCCCCCCCCCCCACATGGCCTGAGAGGAACAGTGAGGCTCCTCCAGTGGGCCATGCCTTGGCACTTGCCCTGGTCCCACCCCGTTCTGCCAGAGACCCTCAGATCTGTCCCACTCCTGCCCAGGCCCCCACAGGCACCCTTGACGTGAATGATGTAGAGCTGGCCACGCCTACCCACTAGGCCACACCCACTCATCCACACCCACCCAGTAGGCCGCACCCACCCTGGCCACACACCCCCACGCCCCTCCCCAGGGCAACCGCAATGCTGATGCGGCCCTCAATGAAATTGAGTTTGACACCCCTGTTCTAGACCAACCCGTTGCTCAAGCAGGAAGCCCTATACCATTCCAGACAAGTGGTTGTCCAGTCTCTTCTTAAAAACTTCCAGTGTTGGAGCATTCATAACTTCTGGAGGCAGGTTGTTCCACCGAATAATTGTTCTCACTGTCAGGAAATTCCTCCTTAGTTCCAGGTTGCTTCTCTCTTTGGTCAGTTTCTATCCGTTGTTTCTTGTCCTGCCTTCAGGCGCTTTGGAGAACAGCTTGACTCCCTCTTCTTCATGGCAAACCCTGAGATATTGGAAGACTGCTATCCTGTCCCCCCTCGTCCTTCTTTTCTCTAGAGTAGCCGTACTCAATTCCTGCAACCGTTCTTCATATAGTTCAGCCTCCAGCCCCCTAATCATCTTCGTTGCTCTTCTCTGCACTCTTTCTAGAGTCTTAACATATTTTTTAGATAGTGGAGACCAAAACTGGATGCAGGATTCTAATAGGGGAGAGGCATTTCTTCAAATCGTCTGGCTTCAAGCCATGTAAGCCGTCTAGAATTAGACCCATGGTGAGAGAAGTAGCAAATAAAGTTTAACGAATTAAATAAATACATGCAAGTGGATTGGGTAGATGGTGGATTGGTTTCCGTTCACTGGGAAATAGCAGTGTCAGATTTATTTATGAAACATGGGTAGCAAGTGAATGAACTCCATCACCATTAGGAACAAACAATATAGTACATGTAAGCAATCTGTTAAATTAAAAACAAGAGACTTTTAAGTCAACACTGATCTTTCCTTTCTTATTTTCTGTCAGCTGCCCAGAGTCATTGGTGAGTGGGCCGAGCTTAGACATTGGAGGAAATAAATGTAGGTGAATCTGTTGAGCAATGATGGCGAATAAAGCTATAGTTTGTAGCAGGGCTTCATTAAAATCGGGTTATAGGGCGAATCTCCTGGTTTTTAGCCTGGTGCCATCACTGTTAGACCGAAGTGGCTCTCCATTTTAACAGCCCTTTCAGCGGTCTGTCTATTGTTCCAACTGGAATGTTTTACTTGTCATATGATTACAGGTAGTTCTCCACGCAACCACGGTTCATTTAGTGCAGGGGTAGGCAACCTTGGCTCTTTTATAACTCGTGGACTTCAACTCCCAGAATTCCTGAGCCAGCCATGCTGAGGGGAAAGGGAGAGGTTTCCAAGCTGAGCCATGCTGCCTCAGGAATTCTGGGAGTTGAAGTTCACGAGTCATAAAAGAGCCAAGGTTGCCTATCTCTGGCCTAGGCCTAGGCTGCTTTATGACTCGTGGACTTCAGCTCCCAGAATTCCTGAGCCAGCATGGGGGAACTATAGCCCCCTCATGACTCGTGGACTTCAACTCCCAGAATTCCTGAGCCAGCATGGCTCAGCTTGGAAGCCTCTCCCTTTCCCCTCAGCGTGGCTGGCTCAGGAATTCTGGGAGTTGAAGTCCACGCTTCATAAAAGAGGCAAGATGGCCTACCCCTGCTTTAGTGAATGTTCGAAATTAAATTGACACTGAAAAAAGTGACCTAGGGCCATTTTTCACACTTACGACCGTTGCAACATCCTCACAGTCACATGTTCAAAGTTCAGACGGTTGGCACTGATTCATATTTGTGACGGTCGCAGCGTCCCTGGGTCACGTGATTCCAAATTCAGATTCTTGCCAATTGGCTCGTATTTATGATGGTCGCAATGTCCCAGGGTTGTGTGATCACCATTTGCGACATTCTGACAAGCAAAGTCAACGGGGAAGCCAAATTCACTTAACAAGCGTGTGACTAACTTAACAAGTGCAGTCATTTGCTTAATAGCTGTGGCAAGCAAGGTTGTAAAACTCACTTAGCAAATGTCTCGCTTAGCAGCAGGAAGGCCGGCCACAATTGTGGTCCGTAAGTTGAGGACTACATATATTTCTTTTTCTTCAATGTCTCATGGTTTTTAAGGCTGTAAGTCACTTTGGGTGGCTTAGAGGAGTGGAAAAATGGAATGTGAATGTTAGCTTGTTAAAAAGAGAGAGAGAGAGAGATAGAGTGTGTGTGAGAGAGATCCTTTTGTTTTCAGCCTGCTTCCAAGCGGGCAAAGAGTTCAAAG